TGTGTGTGTGTGCAGGAGCATGTGTGTGCAGGAGAATGTGTGTGCAGGAGCATGTTTGTGTGCAGGAGCATGTGTGTGTGTGCAGGAGCATGTGTGTGTGTGCAGGAGCATGTGTGTGTGCAGGAACATGTGTGCAGGAGCATGTGTGTGTGTGCAGGAGCATGTGTGTGCAGCAGCATGTGTGTGCAGAACATGTGTGTGAAGGAGCATGCGTGTGCAGGAGCATGCGTGTGCAGGAGCATGCGTGTGCAGGAGCATGTGTGTGTGCAGGAGCATGTGTGTGCAGTAGCATGTGTGTGCAGGAGCATGTGCTGACATGTGTGAGTGTAGGTGGAGGCCAGAGGACAGCCTCAGGTATCATTCACAGAGAGACCACCTACTTCTCTGTGACAGGTTCACTTGTGGACCTAAACTAGGGTAGAATGAGGGACATGGGAGCCCCAGAGGGTCACCTGACTCTCCCTTCCCAGGTCTAGGGTTACAAATGTGTCACTGTACCTGGTTTTTCCATTTGTATGTTTTGTGTTTAGCCTGAATTCTAGCAAGAACTCAGACCCCTAGACCTGCACGGTAAGCACTTTAGAGCTGAGCCCTCTCCCCAGGACTGTGGAGGCAGGGACTGCAACAGGATTCTCACGACACCTGGATCCCAGGGCTTCACTGTCTTGAGAATGTCATTATCCAAACAACTGGCAAGTTGGATCTAGGACATTTACCTGGAGCATAATACCCAGTGCTATAGCCATGAACAGCAATGACGTAGGGCTCATTCAATGTCATCCAAAACTTCACCTTGTCCCCCAGCCTCTGGAAGAGCACATCTGCATACTCCTTAAACAGCTGCACATTTGTCTCATTCTCCCAGCCCCCGATGTCTTGCAGTGCCTGAGGCAGGTCCCAGTGATGTATGGTCACCTGTGGGGAAACCAGAACAATGTTATATCCACCATTTCCTCAGGAATCCAGTGACATGAGATATTCTAGGACAATGACATGGAAAGGTTCAGGGAGTTCTGAACTTTCTCCATGACAGGGAAGAAAACATTTCATTCTCTAATTCTGCACCATGTGAATCTATGGACAATTCAAAACACAAGTTACAAAACCATTCTGTTGCTAAGGTGACGGCCCATCAAGTAAAGGTGCCTGCCACCAAACCTAATGATGTAGGTTCAAACTCCAGGATACTCATGGGGGAGGAGAGCGGTCACTCCTATAAAGATTTTCTCTGACACACACAAACACACAAATTCTGGAGTTGGCAATAGAGTCTTGCCTAGCATGCAGCAAGCCTGGGTTCCATCCGTACAGCATGGTGGTGCACACCTGCAAGTCTAGCACTATGAGGTGTGGGATACAGGACAGAAGTTCAAGAACATCTTCAGCTACAGAAGGAGCAAGAGGTCTGCTGGGATAATGGAGACTTTTTCTCAAATGTAGATAAATAGATAAATACATAGGACCGTATCTGATAAATAAATAGATATGAGAAGCAGGCAGCACACATTAAAAATATATAGAGTAAATGAATAAAATAAAACCCCAGAACTTGTTTGTATATTAAATGGAGTCCTCCTGACCCACTGCCTCCAGGGACCACCCTCACCTGTGGTGTGATGCCAGCAGCCAGCAGTGCATCTATTAATCGAACATAGTAGTTGAGGCCTGCTTCATTGATGAACCTGGTGGTTCCGTCTGGGAGGACTCGAGGCCAGGAGATGGAGAATCGATAGTGGGACACACCCAGGTTCTGAAGGGCCACCACGTCCTCATCAATCTTGTGGTAACTGTCGCAGGCCACATCTCCGTTGTCGTCATTCTCAATCTTCAGTGGTGTGTGGGAAAATGTGTCCCAAATACTGAGTCCTTTGCCATCAGCTCTCCAGGCTCCTTCGATCTCAAGATGACAAGAGGTAGTCTAAGCCACTGACCAAATACATTCCCTTCTGCAGCTCCCTGGGGAGCCTTCTCTGCACACCCTGCACACATGGCGGCATCACACTGCACTCTGCTACTGTTCTGGTTCCCATATCACCATGCAGTGTAGGTGCATGCATGTATGTGCGTGTGTGTGTGTGTGTGTGTGTGTATGCGTGTGTGTGCCAATGCACATGAGAAACAGAGAACCTCACATAGCCTTTGGCTGACTTTGAACAACATGTAACAAAGGAACTGAGTACTCTAACTGAGTCACATCCCCAGTTCCAAGAATGGGTATCACATTTTAATGTATAAATTAATGCTGGCAGTGGGGCCTGGCATATGGTGGGTACTCACCAAAGGTGCTGAGTGAACAGTTTAACATCTGCTACTACCTTAACTACAGTCAAGCCTACTGCTTGGATACTGATATGGAGAAAGTGTTTGTAGTCCAGATGTACATGGCTGTTTCTATGCCTTCCTCCTCCTCTCTAACTCCCTTCCGATAAGACTTTGGAGAACGCCATCTGTGGTGGTCCATGGTTAGATAAGTACCACATCTGTAATTCACTTTCAAACATTTCAACAAATATGGTTGGACAGCAAACATGACGTCACAGCCGAGATGGTGTTGGCATTCTAGCGCTGGCTCAGGGAGAGGCAGAGTGGAGTCAATAGGAGAACTGCCATAGGAACCATCTCTGTGGAGGTAGAGGAGGCCAGGACAAAAGGGACTAGCCTAGGCTGCCAGGAGCTAGATCTATATATTAGTACAGAGAGTTATTCACTGAAGGAGATACAAATATGGAAAATGAAAGGGCTAGCATTTCCTTATAGATTTGAACTGGATGTATGGCTGTAAACTCATGGCTTAAAATATACAAACTGTAGGGCTGGGGGATAAGGCTAAGTTAGATGAGGCATTGATTGTTATGCATGAGGCCCTGGGCTCCATCCCCAGCACTGCAAATGCTGAGAGTATTTAGGCATGCTAGGAAGCCTAATATTTGGATAGTAGAGGCAGGAGGATCAGAAGTTCAATGTCATCCTTGGCTACAGAGTGAGTTGGTTTACATAAGACTCTGTCTCCTGTATAATTAATTAAGGAATGCAAAGTGAGGAGGCTGAAGGGTGAAATGACAGAAATGTCTGTGTGGGAACATCNTGGAGTGCATGCTAATGAAAGGAGGGGACAGAAGGGCAGGAGAAGGCCAGGAACTAGAGGAAGGCAGGTGGAAAGAGCAGCTCCCTCTCACCCTTGACCACACAGTGTTGGTCCCTCCCAGCGCCACCTACCCTCTGGTTGCTGGAGACAAGGGTGAGGTCCTTGTGCAGGGTCAGGAAAGCCATTGCAGCGCACTACAGAGGCATAGAACTTGGCTGATGCCTTGGGGATCCTTGGCAGAGAAGGGTCTGAGCGTTTCACAAAGTGCACACCAAACCTTTCTGCAAAGCCTATGGCCCATTCGAAGTTGTCCATCACACTCCATACCGTGTATCCTCGAAGGTCCACCTTATCCTGCACAGTGGCTAAAAAAGATGCTGGGTGTGAACACTTCACATCAAGACACCTGTGTGCCAGGCCTCCTGAAGCCGGGCTCATAGTTGTCCACATTGTTCTGCTTTGTAGAGTGTGAGTTCCAACTCTGAACCGTTCCTGTGTGGTAGCAGGTTCTCTACAGTGGACATGCAGAAGGAAACGGGTATCTTTCTAGAAAGGCTCAGTTCTGAATGGAACTAGGATAGCCTGTGCTAACCCCAGAGCTTTCTTCAGTAGCTCGGGGGATTGGTCTGAGTCAGGACCTTGAAATACCCATGGAGAAGCAGGAGCGTTTAGAAGCAAAATATCTGAAACATAGTAGCCTGAGCTTTACATACACACAGAAATGTATATGTATATACAGAATATATATATATATGTGTGTGTGTGTGTATGATATATATACACAATGAGTATATCACATAATTTCTAACTGTGTTCATATGAGTGCTGTGTGGTGCATGTAGAGGCCAGAGGTGATCCTCAGGAGCTGTGTCCACTTTGTTCTTTGAGACAAGTAGGCTAGGCTGCCAGCCAAAGAGACCCAAGGATCCTCCATTTTCTCCCTCCCCAGTGCCAGGATTACAAGCACCCACCACCATGCCCAGCTTTCCTCACAGTGTCTGGGATTGAACCCAGGGCTCACGGTTGTACAGTGAGCACTTTCCCACCTGAGCTACCACCCCAGTCCTTCTACCTTGCAAACAAAAGGCCCTAGAGCCACCAGACAACTCTTGCCTGCTCACAGAGGAAAGCAATGTGCAGAGATGCCAAACAGCAAGAAAGACTAAGGATTGCAGAGGACTCAGGTCAGGAACTAACTCAGACCAGTTCAGGAAACTGGGTTTACTTGCTGTGTCTAGGTGAGTCTAAGAAGGAAAAGACCTCTCTGATTCTAGCTTCAAACAAATGCTCAAACTCCTCCAAGCAATGGGTCTTGTCATTAGTGTCCCCGAGGGACCAGACTGCCGTCCTGCAGACACCTACGCTCCAGCAAAGAAGGGGCTCACTGGGGCCAGGCAGTGAGGTGGAAGCTCTTACCTTTGAGGGCTTCATTGATGTATCTGCGGAGGTAGTAGATCCTGTCCGTGTCATTGAGTTCTGGGTCCCCTCGTCTGGACACCCCATTCTCTGTGACATAAATTGGAGGGTTGTTGTATTCTTCCTTCAGCCAGTTCAAGATCCTCCGGAAGCCAAAAGGGGTCACCTTCAGCCAGAAGGAGCCAGAGTCTGGCCAAGAGCTGTCTGCAATGGTGGCCACGCCCCTGCAAGTTCACAAGGTAAAGAAGATGTCTTGTTTATAAACCCCAGGGGATGATCTTAGTTGTTTCTTCTAACCTTCCCTGGGCCCTTGAACTCTTAGAGACCTCCCTGCACCTGTCTCCCGAGTAGTGAGATTTAAAACAGGTGTTACCGTGTTCATCCTGAGAGTATGTGACTAACCCCAATGCTGGGAGATGGAGATAGATAGGTGAGTCCAGTCAGTCTAGCTGAATCGGTGAGTTCCACAATCAGAAGGAGGCTGAGACCCTGGCTCCAAAAAAGGGATGGTGTAAAAAGTGACAGAAGACACCCAGTGTTGGCCTGGCCTCCAGAAGCATCTGCACACACATGTAATATATTAGTGCACATTTGTTAGTGCACACATGCACACACAGAAAAAAACAATCAAAATAGAAAAAAAATGATTCTTCCTGGTCTGTAACTTACATATGCTTGAAGAACTTTAAATTC